GCAACTCATCCCATATCTCCATGCATAGCACTTCAAAGGTCACCTCCTCTCCTCTCTCTTCTTGCTCTCGGCCGAACACAACACACACACACTCACAAAAATCCATTTCATTCTCTCTAAGTCTTGAAGGACATCTCCTTCCTCCTTCTTCAAAAGTTTCGAGAATCAAGAGCTTTTCAAGGAGGTTTTTCCCACAAACACATCATCTAAGGTAAGTTGATGACTAATCCATGATCTAGCTACTTCATTTCATCAAAAATCTCTTCTAAATCTATTCCAACTTGTGATCATGCACCTTAGAAGTCACTAAACTCGAGATCTACCAAGGAGACTTGCTAGGATCGAAATTTTCTTCTTTTCTCTCTTCAAAACCGAAACTACAACTCAAGGTGAGCTTCATACCCCCTATTTTCTGTTTTTATGAGTTTTTTTTTTTTTTGGGGGGGGGGGGGGAATACAAGTGAAAGTGTAGATCTATATGTGTTTTGTATGCTTTGTATGATTTCCATGCTTATATGTGTGCTTTTGTGAGTTATAATGTTGGATTTAGCCATAAAACTCCTCAAAACCGAGATTTACCTTATGTTAAATGATTTTAGCCTCTACTATATTTCTACATACTAAGTGTCTCTAGAAAAATAGCTAAGTGGTTTAGTAATAATTTCTTTGGACTAAAAACACAATTTTTGGACCTAAAATGTGAAAAATACAAAAATTAAGGGCCCAAATTGACAAATCACGAATTCTGATGGATGAACTGTGTCAAAACAGTTTCAATAAAACAATTTCTGGAAATATACTCATTTAGAGGATTAAAAACATAAATTTCAAGCTTAATGGGCTAAAAATGACATTTTTGGCCCAATGAGGCCCATTATGCGAAATTTTCTGTTTTGGAGGGCCAAAACTGTGTTTTTCTGTAAAACAGTGGACTATAAGTGATCCAAGTCCTTTTCAAAGGTTTAAAATGCTTTTTAAATTTAAAAGGGACTAAAGTTGCAAAATTTTACAATTTGGGCCAAAATTGTCAAACTTGCGAAAAAGAAGGGTTATAACCGAGAAAACTGAAATTTCAGGGACTTAAGCTGTTTTCTAGGAAAAATATGCTGGAAAATATTTATTTCAATAATTTTTGGTATTAAAATGTCAAGAAAATTGATTTAAGGACCAAACCGGAAAGTATTTAAATAAAGGGTTGAAAAAGTAAATTTTTACAAACAAGGAGGGGCTGAAAACAGAAAATTTTCAAGGCTAATTCAATACATGCAATTTGACCAAATGATGGTACCACGACTATCGACGAAATACAATACATTACAACACCAAAAGTCGTTGTTAAACGAATTGGTTCGGTCTCGAACCAATAAAAATCCGAAACTACTAACACGACGACACTATGACACTACGACATTACGATTCATAACTAATAACGTTTGGGAATTCAATATACATGCGAGTGTGCACAGACGTCTACGCACCATCTTTGGGCCCCAAAAGTGTAAAATCTTGTTTGTTGAGCCTAGCTAGCCCAATGACCTGATCTTAAGGCCCGAAGACCTCTATCTTACGAAGTGTTGGGTTTTACCGATCCGACATAACGTAAAAGGACTTTCAATGGCTTGTATACTACTGGTCCCCAAGGGTCCTTTGGTATTGCTAGTAGAGTCTACCTTTTCATGCGAGGCGGGTCTGGGACCCCTCGTACCTTTTTATCCCCAACCGGCTAATGGAGTCATCGAGGCCTTCGTGTCCTCGTTCTCTTCGGGTGTGGGACTACACGTAGTCAGGGCGGTTGGATAACGTGATTAGTACGGACGACGCCTACGGGATCGTTAGTATTGCTATAGACTAGTCGTTTGTGTAACGTGTGTTTGTAGCAAATAATCATGCTCAAAAATAATCCAACGTCGCCTGGTACTGATAATTTCACGCGTTGCAATTGTTTCAATGTACATTCATGTAATTCAAAGAATTAGGAAAACATCGGGTTTTCCTAGGGTATTTCAATACATACGGATTCGGAATGCACACAATTTTAAATGAACAATTTTTACAAGTATAGAAACAAACAAGCATACCTATGGATCTTCACACCTTTTTGACTATACTATTTTCAGAAAATATCGGATTTTCTGGTGGTTTTTCAACACATTACAAACATTGGATTTCAAACATTACTTATGAACTCACCAACATTTCATATGTTGACGTTTTTCAAAATACTTGTATTCTCAGGTAACAGATAAAGTGAAGGATGAATTGTACTCTATGACGTTTTGTTGTGGTTTAATTTAGTATCGAACAGTTATTTTTGAGAATGTAATGTTTTGGAACAATGTAATGGATGTAAACGCTACCAGTTGTATCATTCCAAATGTTGGTGATGTATAATGTTATGTTTCATGTATATTCATTGTGATGGTATTCAATTGAGTCACGACAGCCCCCGGACGTTTCCGCCGTCTGGTTCGGGGGTGTGACAGTTGGGCCTTAGAGTTTGGGCCGTTTGTGGGTTGTTGGTTTATGGGCCATGACTGGAAATTTATGGATAGAGTATTTTGGGCTCAATTATTGTTATAGACCTTGGATCTATGCCCATTTGGTGAGAAGGGCCCAATTTAGTAAATTGGGCCAATATTGGGCTTTGTATAAGATTTGGATTTTGGCCTTGGCCCAATAAGTGGATGTATGTGTGGTCTAATGATTATTTTGTTATGATGGCTAGTTCGGGATTTTCGATGAGTCGGTGATTTGGGAATCGGCATCTTCAGTTCAGAGTTTCGGCAATCGCGATGTGAGTTATCCTCACTATATCAACAGGGTCTAAGGCACCAAGGCCGGCCCTTTATCGGATTGAGATCCGGGTATTTGTTGTTATGTTGTTGATTTGATATGTTTGCATCCTGGTAGCTAGGATGGTATATGCTAGTGACCGGTAGGTCGTTATCCTGGTTAGGATGATGATATGTTATGTAATCTGTTTGATCGGCTTGTTGTCTGTGAATTCTTATATGATTGTATGTTTATGTGCACATGGTTGTTTGGACTGGAGTTGGGTTGAGGCAGGTCTTGCTTTGTGCTGTAGGCCAAGATACCCAGGGCGAATCGGTTGTCCCGATGGCCCAGCGAGCGGTCCGGATAGGTTGTAGGCCCCACAAGGACGGACCATACCTGCCGAGGCTCGGAGAGTAGACCAGGCCGACTGAAGGCTCGATGCGGGCGGACCAGTCATACTGTAGACTCAGAGAGTGGACCAGGTGGGTTGAAGGCCCGGTGCGGGCGGACTAACCACACTGCAGACTCGAGGGACATGACTAGACTCGGTGGACCCAGTGGACTGAAGGCCCGATACGGCGGACCAGTCACGCAGTAGACCCGATATGCATGGCTGTTCTGTGATCGGTTATGATATGACATGTTATATGTGTATGGTATATGTGGTTGGTATTTTGGGCGTATCTCACTAAGCTATCGGGCTTACAGTTGTGGTTTAATGTTTTTTAGGTTATTCAGGAGACCGTGGCAAGGCGAAAGCGTGATCGTACCGCTCCTCGTGTTTATGTTTTATGTTATGTTTCTGGGAATACTCTGATAATAAATGTATTGAAAACCTTTTTGTAAAAACTTAAAGTAATTGGAATGTTTTGAAAAGTTTAAATTGGTTGAAAATTTTCGGTCGTTACAAATAGCTCCCTAAAGAAGCTTCACCCCTAATAATGGCGGCCCATGTCATCATGGAATAAATCTGCACGAAGCTTCCTATCATCACCTGAAGGCCAAAAACTGTTAGTGATTAGGGTTTAGCCCCAATCCCTTTAGGGTTTAGATTAGGTCTCTTATGTAACCATATTTATATGAGGTTTAACCTCACTATTTATCAATGAAACAATCTATTATCTTTCAAAAAGAGCTCAGTTTTCTTGATATTCGGTTCAAGACCCAATCTTGTGTCTGCCACCCTAATGATGTTCAATACTCTAGCCACCTCCTTTGAATCTCTAATGACGGCCCCATCATCAAGATACCAAGCATGAAGGAGAAGCTAGCAATTGTTTCTAATCTGATATACAAGTGGGTGCAATACAGTAGCAAAAAGAAGTGGTCCCAAAGGGTTGCCTTGTAGAACTCTAATAGTAGATCAAATATGATTATCTTTCAAATACAACCTTACAGCGTGTTCATATAAAAATTTGACTCACAAAGAAATGGAATAACACCTCATCGTGACCTCATGAAGTAAGACAAATCTATACACCATATTGAAGAAATGAAGCTTTTTCACCAAATCTATCCATCTCATGAAGTCGTTTTCATTTTGAAATATTGTAGAGAAATGAAGGTTTTTTGTTTTCGGAAAAACCACTAAAAAGTCGTTTTCATTTTGAAATAAACCGTTGAAAATTATTTTTGGGATTTTCTAATATGTGCCCTAAGGGCACATATAAGAAGTATTAATTAATCACAATTATTACTATAATTAAATATGAAATGCATTAATTATAGAGATTATTAATGAATTTTATATTTAATTATGGTAATATTTTTTATAATTAATTTGTTTAACATTTAATTATGGTAATAATTGTGATTAATTAATACTTCTTATATGTGCTCTTAAGCATATATTAGAAAATCTCATAGTTTTTATTTAAAAATAAGAAAGGGCAACTAGATAAAAGTTTGTTACTACTAAAATCTTAAATCTATAAAAAAAATCTTGAATTTTTATCATTTTCTGTTGAAAATAAAACAGTGATTTTTCATACATAAAACCCAAGTTTAAAGTTTTATTTTTGAAGAATCGCAGATATTTAATTATAAGTATCGAATCAAATATAGAATCCTTAACACTCTCTCCCCTTTCTTCCTCATAATTATATAATATCCAGAAGCGAGTTTTCATATATCCAGTTTCCAGTCTCTCTCCCTCTCTGCATAGACGACGGCTACATCGCTAATCCTCCCAAATCTCCGAATTCATCCAGATCGGAAACCACTCAATGCCGACCACCTTTGAACGGAATCTCAATCTATGTTTCACTAAAATCAAACGCCCCCAATCACCACCACCATCTCCTCCTCCTCCTCCTCCCCACCGCCATCGCCACCACCATCGTCGCCGCCACTCCGAACCATCCCTACACAATCCCAAATCTAACCTCATCAAAAACTTCAACACTCTCTATGACATTCCCCCCGCCTCCGATTCTGACGATTCATCAGTCATCACCGCCCCTGATTTCTCCACCGCCATCGCTTCCAATCGCTTCTTCTTCTCCTCCCCCGGCCGCTCCAATTCCATCATCGAATCCTCCTCCCCCTCCACCTCCTCTCTAGCCTCCACCTCTTACACTCCTGAGGATGCCACCGACGGTTTCGTCGGTGGCGGCGTTGCGATCCCGACGATCTCGCCGGACCCATACTTTGACTTCCGGAAATCGATGCAGGAAATGGTGGAGGCACGTGACCTCGTCGATGTACGCGCCAACTGGGATTACTTGCACGAGCTACTCACGTGCTATCTGGATTTGAACCCGAAAAGTGCTCACAAGTTCATCGTCGGAGCTTTCGCGGATCTTCTCGTTACTCTCATGGAATCGACGACGGCGGAAAACGGTGGACGCCGGAATGTATAATATATCCGGTGATAATTGTATGAATTATTTTTTTCACGGTGGTGGGTGTGTGATTAATGTAGTAATTTTTATAGTTCGTCAAATCTGATTTATTTTTAATCATTTTTATGCGAAATATTAAACTAGTTATTATTATATTATTTGTTCATACGAGCTAGGAAATTTCCCGAATAAAATGAAAAATATATAAAAAGATTTATATTACTGCTTTCCAATAATAATCATAAAAGATTTGGTCCCATGCACATTATTGATGATACACATACACCTTACCCAACTGAATTATTTTGTAATAAGTGTTAACATTAATAAAATCGACCTGCTAAAATAAGGGTATTTGGATTCTTAGGTTGAAACTAAAGGTTTTGTGTTAGTTTATATATAAATTATATGCCAAATCTTATTATTAAAACAACAGTAATGAACAAGTTTATTTATTTATTTATTTTTTTAAGACTTCTATAACATTTCAAAACATGCATTATATAGTTATATGGCTGATTTGACTATTTTTAACTTTTAAGAACCAAATCTCATGTTACCCGCATTAAGGAAAACTTCATGTTACCCGCATTAAGGAAAACTTGCACATATGGTTTAATTACACAATATATATATATATATATATATATATATATATATATATATATATATATATATATATATATATATATATATATATATATAGTCAAGATCAAATAAGAAGGAAATTTTTGGTAGGAAGGTAAGAAGTTTTTTTTCTACATATTTTTTTCGCGAACAAACAAAATGGATCATTAGATGATTCATTTGTAAGATGATTCACAAGAAAAAATTCTCAAAAAAACATCTCGATGATTCATTTTTATAATGATTTTGTTGTTATTCACTAAAATTGTCATAAAAGTAAAAAATTTCTTAATTTACTTAAAAATGAATCATAAAGATGTTTTTTTGAGAATTTTTTCTTGTGAATCATCTTAAAAATGAATCAACTAGTGATTCATTTTTTTTGTTCGTCAAAAAAATATGTAGAAAAAAAACTTCTTACCTTCCTACCAAAAAAAAACTTCTTACCGGATCTATATATATATATATATATATATATATATATATATATATATATATATATATATATATATATAAAATTCCTAACCGTTTACTAAAGAACTGTCAAAAGCTTTCTTATATTAATCTAAGGCTGGGAAGTTCTCCCATAAAAAAAGTGTTTATATAACACATGTAAAGATTAAAAAGATGGTGACAAAATTTTGTGTCTTTTTTTGGGACAATAATTTAGTTTGTATAGGTGTTTGTCCCTACTTTACTATAAGCTTACAAAGGTACAATTCTATAATAATAACATTGTCCCCTTCTCCCCACTAAGGCAGTTAAATTTCGAGTTCTCAATTTGGCCTTTTTATGCACTAAAATCTTGTATTAATATCCTGAAAAAAATCATGTGTTTTTATTTGGGATTTAAAATTTATATTATAATCATGAGTTGTTTTTCGTGTGATATACAGATCAATTTGGATTTTCCCGTGATGCAACTGACAAATATTGTGTTCGTGAATGATGTACAATGGAGTTGCATCTACTTGCTTTATTAAAAAATCTCATATTTGTGTTTTCAAGAAAGATTACTTTTTTACGTTAAATTAATATCCCAGCATAAACACATTGAGCCAAAATGTGAATGGTGTTTTTTTTGTTTTTTTTTGGTAAAATATTTTGGCTTAACGGCCCATATCAATCTCCATTTAGAACTATGTAAGAGGCCAATAGAGACCACCAACAACAAAAGGGAACCCTCAATCTCAAAAGAGAAGCCACACTATCTGATACTACGATACTGCTAGGTTAGAAGTATTTTGGTTACATAGATGAAATTAAATATTAGTTTATGAATAGATTATATTTATCAGTTGAAAAAAAATACTAATGATATTTTGGATTTGCCAATATTTAAATTATGGACTTCCTGTATGAAATTATATTCCTCAAAAAGCTAGGCTCTCGTTGTAAGGGCGCGAATGGTGTTTATGAAACCATGTTCTATGGTTTTGTATTCATGGGATACATACGACAATGGTTATGAATATTTTATTAATTTTGTACGAAAGCATTTCTTCTTTTGAATTTCTTGAAAACTTGTTTTAGGATCAACGACTTCAGGATTCTTTTGACTGGTTAAAGACCAATTTTTCAGAATTTATATTGTGACTCTTAGCTTTTTCTTAAGAAAAAGACAAGAAAAACGAAGTATTTGGACTCTTGACCTATAAAGTACTAATACATTATTTTACGGGCTCAAGTAAGCAAATATAAAATTAATACCTAAGTGTTTTTCTATGGGTAGAATCTTGAAATCCAGATAATATTTGGTTTAGGAAATGTGGTAGAGAATCTTTGATTTTGTTTTGTTAACTCCACATTTTTAATTTCAATGACTTGTCTTTTGCAACAAAAAAAATTGTTTTTAATGGTTGCAACTTGGCCAATAGGTGTAGAATCCATGGTTTTGGATCTTATTAGACTTATAATCGAGGTCATGTTGGTTTTGATCTTTTATATATATATATATATATATATATATATATATATATATATATATATATATATATATATATATATATATATATATATATATATATATATATCCATCTGTTGAAAAACAGAAATACACATAATTGTATTAAAAAGTGGAAATTGGGTTTTATTAAGGATAGTTGAAAGTTATGGTGTCATTGTTGAGCTGGCTAAAGAGATGGTTGGAATTGATTATTTAAATTGTTTTATTGATTTATTACGGTTTGATACTGATAATAAAAAGTTTTAAGTGTCTGGACAAAAATATTTAATAAGCACCTATTAACTTGTTTAAATAGTTTTTGATAAAGGGGTGTTTGTGATTGCTTATAAGCTAAGATCTTTCAAGAAATCTATTTTCTACCAGTAGAGTCTTGCTTGCAACGGAAGTGAGTATTACATAACTCAAGCCGATTTTGTTCACATGAACCCAGAAGAATTGTTTCTCATTGTCGAGTTTTCAGCTTAAAGATTGAGGAGTATCATCTCTTCAAACCATGGTCAAGTCTGAGATTTTCTCAAGTCTCTCATATGTGACTTTGCTTCAATAGATGGTGAAATTTACCCTATCCTTGTGAATCAATTCCTCCATTCGAAACCGCTTTAATAGTTGAAGAATGTATTCATGTAACGTCTCATTTTCATGACCAAAATTTTTATTTTTGTTTAACGTAAAAAATTCCCTATTATAAAACCATTTTAAGAAAAATTGTAACACCCATAAATTCAGGCTAGTAATTTAGAGATAATAAGCATCAAAAATGACTTTTTGATAGAATATTATTTAGAATAAATAATCTTAACTAAGTTATAGTATATGTCACAAGGGTTCCGTATATATAAAGATCGCCGAAATCCGAGTTATAACGAAGAAATTATGACCTATCGAAGTTTCAGGACAAAACCGGCACGTCACCGGGAATTGTAAAAAGAAAGCGAGTTTACGATAAAGTACTTTTCAGCCTTAGTGATTTAAACAAAAGTTGTAGAGTACGCCTTCACCTACGCGTGGATATAAAGAATGTCAAAAAACGGAGCTCGTATGCAAAACTTATGACCTTTCGAAGATGTAGCTGTCTGATAGCATGACACGTGGCAGAAACCCTAATTTGTTAGGGATCACGACATGAGCATGTTTTCTCACGACGTGAGGAGTCAAACGGACACTTTTCAAGGCTAGAACGCAGATGGCAAGTCTACAGAATGATAAGTTTAGGGCTCACGACATAATCATGATTTCTCACGGCGTGAGGAGTCAAACGGACACCTTCCAAAGATAAGGACGCAAATGGCAAGTCTATGAGGTGATGCAGCCTGGCCTCACGACGTGAGCAATGATTTCTCACAATGTGAGAGAGCCAAAAACACCCTATAAATAGCAAGTTTGACTCTTGCTCTTCTTACACCTAAAATTCTTACCTCTCTCTCTCTCTCTCTCTCTCTCTCTCCCTCTCTCTCTCTCTTTTGTTGAAGGCATTCCGCATCCCGAGCCCAACGATCACAAACCGCTGACCATTTCTAGTTAGATTCTATCCAATTATGCTACTAATGTGAGTGCATAGTTACATTCATCTTACTCATAAGATATGAAGTATTTAATATAAATTAGGTGCAATGTGTGCATATTATCTGTGTTCTTGATATCTATGATGGATGAACAATTTTATACATCTTTTAAATGATTTAAACTGTATATGTGTTTTATATTTATAAATATGTTAGGTAAAACATGTGTAGATTAATTATATGATGTGTGATGAAATAAAAATTGATGAGAAGTCTTGATGTTTAAGATGATTTAGTCATCTAGCAGAGTATAGACAACGACCACCGACTATTCTAGACAATCCAGTGGAACATTAGCAGGTTCGTAACATGTAGGTGTTTTTGAACTAGGTGTTCATTAAGTATTTTTAAACTAAGTGTGTTCACTAGGTATTTTTGAACTAAGTGTGTTCACTAGGTATTTTTGAATTAAGTGTTCGCCAGATGTTTTGAACTACGTGTTCACCAGTTGTAATTTAAAAACCTTGTCAGCTATGGACTTAGTGTATGTTAGATAAACCCTGGCAGCGATGGACTTCGTGCCTATTCCTTAGGAAGATCCTTAGGTATGAATGAATGAAGGACAAATGATTCTTAGGCTAGATCTTTAAGAATAAAGAAGATAATAGGGATGGGTAATTGGGTTGATTGTTTGATGATTAAACATAATAATTATATTATTGTGGGTTAAAAACCCTATGTGCTCACTAGGTTTCCCAACCTAACCCACTCAGCTTATTTGTATCACAAGTGTCGATACGAAACTACATTACACTGAGAGATTAAAAGAAATGAGGATCATTAGTGTAAATGAATGTAAGGTCTGTTTATGCTTATGTTTATGTATTGAAAATGACATCCTAAAGTTTTAATATAAACAAAAT